GTGTGTTTGTGTGTCTGTGTGTGTGTGTGTGTGTCTGTGTGTCTGTGTGTGTGTGTGTGTGTGTGTGTGTGTCTGTGTGTGTGTGTCTGTGTGTGTGTCTGTGTCTTTGTGTCTCTGTGTGTGTGTGTGTGTTTTATTGGCATCTAGTGAGTAGAGCCCAGGGATGCTGCTAAATATCCTACTGTGCCCAGGCCAGCCCCTCGCAATAATTATCCCACCCAAAATGTCAGAAATGCTGAATTTGACAGAGGTGTTACAACAGTATTTTGGTCTAAATCTTAAAAAAAAACGTAAGCAGTCTTTTTATTGTATTCTGCTTAGTAAAACCTAGCATATAAAAACCAACTTAAAATAGGTAAATTAAGCAAGGTTGACAGGATTTACAATAGTTTCTGTAAACATCAAGCTTCCATGGAAATTAAAATGGCGGAGTGTCCAGGTGAGACCATTAAAGTGAAAGTGTTTGAGACCCTTGTTAGTTTAAATTTTATTAGAAACCTTCTCCGAAATCATGTAAGTCTATAGGAATGTGATTCTTTGAAAATTTTAAGGCATTTCTCTGAAAAGGGTATCGCTTTCAAAAGGCTAAGCATATCTCACAGGCCACTACTTTTTTTTTAAGTTGAAAATGCCTTCAAGCCATCTGAAATTCTAACTCTAGGCAAAGCTAAAATACAAAATTCTAGCTAAAATAACTTAGAGTATGGTGCTCCTTAGGGACTGAGAGATTTAAATATAAGTGAAAATCCCACTTCAGTGAAGAAATCATTTATAAGTGTTCCAATGAGAGACATTTCAAAGGGATAAAAATTCAACATAGTCTTTTTTTGGAAAAAATAAGAATTCTGGAGTAATAAAAGAATGACAGGAGAAAGAAAAAGACACAAAAAGATGTGGGCCAAAAGAAACGGTCCTGATACTCTTTGCTTTAAAATCTTGAGGGAAATGGAAGTGTTCTTTTCATCTAGCGGCAGTTGAAAAAAAATACAGATGATTATATTAAGTGGCATCTTGTGCTTGCAGCAATGGAGTGCTGATTCTCCCCATGCCTTAGAAGTGATTGTACCTAATGATCTGGTGAGATAATTGGTTTTAGAGAATATAGGTTATTAGGTTCTTGTCTCAGTTTTTATGATTGTCTGTATAATATGATACTTCTTTTTAGTAATCCATTGCAAATTGAGATAGAACGCTACAGCTTTATCTCTATAAAATGTTAATGGAAAATATTTTAGACTTTCTGTAAATGGAAATGTGGTAAATTCAGGATTAATTTTGGAAACTTAGAAACAGTATTGCCCAGCTGGAAAGTGTGCAGCCAGAATGCTCCTTGGAAGTGGGGATGGCTAGACTTCATCTCGTTTACTTTGGACACATTATCAGGAGGGACCAATTCCTGGAGAAGGACATCATGCTTGGTAAAGTAGAGGGTCAGTGAAAAAGAAGAACCTCAATGAAATGGATTGATACCGTGGCTGCAACAATAGGCTCAAATACAGCAACAATTGTGAAGATGGCTCAAGACGCAGGCAGCGTTTCACTCTGTTATATATAGGCGTGCTATAAGTCGGAGCAGGCTTGACATCACCTAATAGCAACAACAGAAACAGTATGTGTCATGTACTATCTATTGAAACTGTCCATGACATGTTCTGAAAGAACAACCAATTATAAATTATAAAAACTAAATTGTAAAATGGAGACTGTCAAAAAACTAAACAGGAATTAATTATAATAATTTATCTGTGGGAAAGTAAATTAGGATATTAAAAACAGTATATTATTTTTTATTTATAAATGCCATCCAAAGGTATTAATTTATATGTGCCTAATAACCTCTTTGGAGCCCGGTGACATAGTGGTTAAGAGCTTGGCCGCTAACCAAAGGTCTGTAGTTGGAATCTACCAGCTGCTGCTTGGAAACCCGTGGGGCAGTTCTACTCTGTACTTACTATAGGATCGCTATGAGTTGGAATCAACTCGATGGCAACGGGGTTTGTTTGTTTGTTTGTTTTATAACCTCTTTACAAATGAGTTTTATACTCCAGTATAGTTTATTTTAAATTTTATTTTGTTGTTATTGTTGAGAATATATATAGCAAAAAATATACTAATTCAAGCATTTGTACATGTACAATTCAGTAACATTGATTATATTCTCTGAGTTGTGCAACCATTCCCACCCTCCTTTTCTGAGTTGTTTTTCCTTTATTAACAAACTCACTGCCCCCTAAAGTTCCTATCTAATCTTTCAAATTGCATTGTCAATTTGATCACATAAAGATAGTTCTTAAAAGAGCATAATGCTCAAGGCAGATATTTTTTACTAGTTAAGGTAAACTATTGTTTGGTTTTAAGAAAACTTCAGGGGATATTTTTGGTTTAAGTTTTAAAGTTTATCTCAGAGCAATAGTTCAGGGGTTCATCCAACCTTCATGGCTCCAGAAAGTCTAGAGTCCATGAAAATTAGAAATTCTGTTCTGCGTTTTTCCCCTTTTGATCAGGATTCCGCTATAGAATCCTTGATCAAAATGTTCAGTACTGGTAGCTGGGCAAAAGTGGCAGTTGTTCGCGAAGGCAATTAGCCACACATTCCATATCCTCCTCCTATTCCTGATGCTCCTTCTTCCTCTTTTGCTCCAGGTGAATAGAGACCAATTGTTGTGCCTTGGGTGGCCTTTTGCAAGCTTTTAAGATCCCAGGCACTACGCAACCAACTAGGAGATAGAAGCACTAAACACATTACTAGGCAAATTAACTGGGATGTCCTATGAAACCATGATCCTAAATCTCCACACTGAGGAACCAAATCCCTTGAGGTGTTTGGTTGTACATAAGCAGCCTCAGCCGCTATTCTTTTTTTTGTCATTGTTATATGTCACACAACTTTTGCCAATTCAACTTTTTATAAGTGTACAACTTATTGACAGCACTTATAATAATCAGCTGTGCAACCCTACCCTTAATCAATGCGATTTTTCCATTACTGTAAACTGAAACTCAGTACTCCATAAACAATACTTCCCCCCCTTTCTCTCTCCCACCCCTGGTAACCACTTATACACTTTGGTCTCTATAATTTACCTTTTCTTGTCTTTTTATATAAGTGAGGTGATACAATATTTGTCCTTTTATGATTATTTCGCTCAGCATAATGTATTAAAGCTCCATTTATATTGTAGCATGTATCAAGACTTCATTTCTCCTACTGGCTGAGTAGTATTCCATTGTATATATGTACCACATTTTATTTATCCATTCATCTGCTGATGGGCATTTAGGTTGTTTCTACTTTTTGGCTATTGTCAATAGTGCTGCAGTGAACATGCGTGTACAAGTCTCTGTTTGAGTCTCAGCTTTCAAGTCTTTTGAGTATATACCTAGGAGTAGAATTGCTGGGTCATACGGCAGTTCTGATCCGCAGTCAGACCATCAATTACTCATATGCAAGTTCAAGCTGAAACTGAAGAAAATAAGAACAAGTCCATGAGATCCAAAGTACGACCTTGAGTGTATCCCACCTGAATAGATTTGACACATTAAACACTAATGACCAAAGACCAGGCGAGTTTTGGAATGACATTAAGGACATCATACATGAAGAAAGCAAGAGGTCATTAAAAAGACAGGAGAGAAAGAAAAGACCTAAATGGATGTCAGAAGAGACTCTGAAACTTGCTCTTGAACATTGAGTAGCTAAAGCAAAAGGAAAAAATGATGAAGTAAAAGAGCTGAACAGAAGATTTCAAAGGGTGGCTCTAGAAGACAAAGCAAAGTATTATGATGACATGTGCAAAGACCTGGAGATAGAAAACCAAAAGGGAAGAAAACGCTCAGCATTTCTCAAGCTGAAAGAACTGAAGAAAAAATTCAAGCCGCGAGTTGCAATAGTGAAGGATTCTACAGGGAAAGTATTAAATGACGCAGGAAGCATCAAAAGAAGATGGAAGGAATACACAGAGTCCCTATACCAAAAGAGATTGGTCAACGTTCAGCCATTTCAGGAAGTAACATGATCAGAAACCGATGGTACTGAAGGAAGAAGTCCAAGCTGCCCTGAAGCCACTGGCGAAAAACATGGCTCCAGGAATTGACAGAATACCAATGTTTCAACAGACGGATGCAGCGCTGGAAGTGCTCACCCATCTATGCCAAGAAATTTGGAAGACAGCTACCTGGCCAACCAACTAGAAGAAATCCATATTTATGGCTATTACCAAGAAAGGTGATGCAACCGAATGTGAAAATTATTGAACAATATCATTAATATTACGCGCAAGCAAAATTTTGCAGAAGATCATTTAAAAGTGGCTGCAACAATGTATTGACAGGGAACTCCCAGAAATTCAAGCCGTATTTAGAAGAGGACATGGAATGAGGGATATAATTGCTGATGTCAGATGGATCCTGGCTGAAAGCAGAGAATACCAGAAAGGTGTTTACCTGTGTTTTACTGACTATGCTAAGACATCAGACTGTGTGGATCATAACAAATTATAGATAACATTGCGGAGAATGGGAATTCCAGAACACTTAATTGTGCTCATGAGAAATCTGTACATGGATCAAGAGGCAGTTGTTGGAACAGAACAAGGGGA